AAAAATGAAGTATCTAGGAATCAATCTAACAAAAGAAACAAAAGATCTCTACACTGAAAACTATGGCACTCTGAAAAAAGAAATTGAAGAGGAGATATAAAAAAATGGAAAGATATCCCCTGCTCCTGGGTAGGAAGAATCAACATAGTGAAAATGGCCATACTACCAAAACTGCTATATACATTCAATGCAATGCTAATTGAAATTCCAACACTATATTTCACAGAACTAGAAAAAAGAATCCAAAAATTCATTTGGAACCATAAGAGACCTAGAATAGCAAAAGCCATTTTAGGCAACAGACACATGGCACCAGGTGTAACAATTCCCAATCTTCTTCTTTTTTAATGGAAATTGAATCCAGAACGTATTCACTGAGTTAAACCCTTTTTAAAAATTAAAAAAATATTTCATCCCTTTAAAAAATTTTTTTGAGACGTAGTCTTGCTAAATGGCTTGAACTGGGCTCATCCTTTCAATCTTCCTGCCTCAGCTTCCCAGAGTGCTCAGGTTGTGGCATGTACCACCACATGGGGTTGTGCTATTTGCTGGTTAATGTTTTCAGGATTTTTTTTAATGCATTAATTTTCAAAATATATGTGGGTTTCTTTTTGAACTAGATTTCTTTGGGTGAGTTTTGCTATTTTATCCAATTTATCTGACAATACTTGTTTTTAATGGAAGTGTTAGGCCACAGGCCATTTATATTTAATCCAGCCATGTATGAGGTTGGATATAAATTTACTGATCCCATCTGCTTTTTGTTGCTTCCTATCTCCCCTGCAATTCTGTAGATTTTTTCAAGATCGTTAATCCATTTTATTTACACTATTTGCTTATTAATTATACTTTCTTAATTTTTTTGCTTAATCACATGGAATTTATAATCTAAATCTGTAATTCAAAAAATTCTACCTTAAATTAAAATACTACATGTAACAGCATAATAAACTTACAATTTTATTTCCTCTAGTTTTTATGCTCATTCTTCCTAATGTTACACATACAAAATCCATAATACATTAAATTATAAATATATTAACAAATGAGAAAATATTAGTTTATATTTTCTCACATAGGTATGATTTCTGGCACCCAATTTTTTGTATAGGTCCAGATTTTTATATGGCAACATTTTCACGCTGTCTGTAGAACTTCTGTTCATATATTTTATAGCACATATCTGACAGAGTTGGATTTTCTCAGCTTTTTTCCCCCCAAATCTTATATTGCCTTTATTTCTGGGATGTAGTTTCATTAGTTAAAGCCTTCTGTGCTGGCAGCAATGTTCTTTTAATACACAGAAGATATTTCTCTGTTGTTCTCTCAGTGAAATAGATTCTGATGAGAAATCTGCTGTCACTTCTAAATTTATCCCTTATCTATATGTGATACATTTTCATCTACTTCCTTCCTCCCTTTATTTATTTATTTGGTACTCGGATCAAAATCAGGACTTTGTGCTTTCAAGGCAGCCATGGTGCCACGAGCTAAATCTCTGGCCCTATTATTTATTTTTTCATTGGTTTTCATTAAAATGGAAATTGTACTTTTTAGTCTTATTTTACTTGGGTTTTGTTGAGTTACTTTGATCTATAGCTTTATAGTTTTCATCAAATTTGGAAAAAAATTATCAAAATTATGGATTTTGTTTTCTTTTCCCCAGCTATTTCTCCTTACTCTGGGATGTCAGTAACACACATTTTTGACTATTTTTATATTGTTCAACAAGTTACTGGTACTCTATTTATTGTTTTGGTTGTTTTGTGTTTTCTTCATTTTATATAATTTGTGTAGTTTTAAGTTTATTTTCCTTTTGCCAGGTGTAGTTTACTTTTAATCCTGCTTTGTATATTTTTCATTTCACAAATTGAACTTTTCATGTCTAAGTCTCATTTGGGATATATATATATATATATAT